TCAGATCAGTCATTCTGATTACCAGATTCAAGTGTGCAAAATTGGTCAAGAAAAAAAGTTTTAAGCATTGACTGTTCCTTTGTTCCTTTCAATAAACCACAGACATCAGCAATACACCTATTCCAGCTATCCTTATATATACATATAAATTTTGTTTTTCATTTAAGAAAACCAAAATAACAAAAACAAATGCATAAACAAAACAGCATAGAGAACAATACAAATACAGAATTTCAAAACATGGTGATAGGATATTAACAATGGTTGTTATATTACATAATGTCATCTTCAAAATGGTTGCACATATAACCAGATATAGGCATATAAGATTGATCAAACAATTACACATTAACAGTTCCTTTCAATAAACAGATATTAGTAGTACAATTATCCTAGCTATCCTGTGTATACATATACTATATATTTTTTTGAGACAGGTTCACTATGCAATCCAGGCTGGCCTTTGACAAGCTATGTATCCAGGCTGGCCTATGGCTGACCCTCCTGCCTCAGCCTCCCAAGTGCTGGGATTATAAGATGTGCCAGCCTGAATTACAGAGTGAGACCATGTCTCAAAAAAAAAAAAAAATACTATTGTATTAATAGAAAAGTTTATAAACTAAAATCAGTATTTCACTAGATTTTGACCACTAGATTTTGACCACTAGAATATTATGTCATAGATTTCTAGGTTTTCTTTTAGGAATATAATTAGTTAAAGGATATCACTCTAGATAAACAATTTAATAAAGTGAAAATAGATTTCTGAAGATATCTAATTTGATACTTTTTGTCCTCCTATTTACTAACAATTTGAATTTAAGTTTATTATTTGCTACTATATCATTACTTCCTGAACTATTTCCTTACACTGTACTGTATTCCAAAGCCTAACCTTCTGGTCATTGAAGTATTTAGTAAATATTCACGTACTTCTTCAACGAATATTCATTGTATACCAGATGTATAGTATTGTATACTCTATACTAGGATTAATACTGTTCCTACAGCCTTCTATATCTCATATGCTATAATAATAATAATAATAGCTATCATGGTGTGTATAAATGAATATAAACTCTCAATTTCTTTCTAAGTGAAGGACCTCTTCATTTCACATTTTCATAATAACAGAATCACAAAATTTTGTGGTGTGACTGAATCTTCAATTTTATGAAAACAAAGACCAAAGAGTGAAGAGATAATTTGCTTCAAGTTCCACACTACTGAGTGGAGAGCTGTGCCTTGCTCCCAGACCTCTTAACAATCATCCCCAGCCCTACTGATGCAGGCCCTTTAGATTATACAGGGGGAATAAATGTAACTCTCAACCTGCTAGATGTGCAATACACTGAGTTTTTGTACCCCAAAATTGAAGAGTCAATTTTAAGGAACAATGGAGGTTAAGAGTAGGAAATTTTATTGAGGGAGAGAGAGCTCCTGCCTGAGAGGTAAGAGGGAGGCCTCAGTGTGTTGCCACGGACCCCACTTTCTAGAGGAAAATCACAAGGTGGTTGCAAAATCACGAAGTAGGTATAAGGTGGGAAAAAACTATGATCAACCAGTAAGTTTATAAGCATAGCCACTTAGGTCATATTGATCTCATGGGGAAGCAGGTTGTATAGCAAGCGTACATGGAAAGAACAAAGAACTTTTTAAGAAGGGATGGGTCTGAGGGTCTTGGTCAGGCACCAAGGTGTGACTGATACCTATCTAGACTTTTTGTTGTTTTTTTGGACAGGGTCTCACTATGCAGTTCAGGCTGACCTTGAGCTCACTGTGTAGCCCAGGCTGTCCTCAAACTCATGGCAATCCTCCTGCTTCAGCCTCTCTAATCCTGGGATTACAGGCGTGCATCACCATGCCTGGCTATCTAGACTTCATTGGACCAGGTGTTACCACTTACACCCTGGGGAGGTAGATAGCCCTGATCATTCTGTCTTTATCTTAAGGCTTGGCCTCCACCAGATGTACCTCTGGCCACAGTAGTAATGTGTTTTCATCTTTTGTTTTGACTCTCTCAAGGGCCTAGCCCTGGCTGACTGCCTATAATACTGTTACCTAACTTAACTGTCTATAATGCCACCAACCCTTACTCTACTCAGATCAGTCTTACTTTTCGTTTGCTATCAGCTTCTTTCCTTCAGCTGTTCCCCACCTATTCATTCAACAAACACTTGTGTTGCTGTGTCCTAGGCAGCTCACAATTTCATTTTCATCCCCATGTCTGCTCATACATCTGCTTGGTTTTTACCTTGACTGACGTAATCTCTGCTCATTAGGTACGTTAGAAATCTCCAAGTTATCTTTAACTACGCTCCTTCACACCTCACAATCAATTAGCGATGGATTCTGATGAGAGTCTCTGGAATCCAGACGAGGCACTGATGCCTTTACTGCTACCTTTGCTGTGGCCCCAGTGTCCTGCCTGGACTGTGCTATGGGCTCAAGCTGTTTTCCAGGGTCCTGGACTCTGTTCCTTCTTCCACGCTACTGCTAGAGTGAGTGTAACTGCAGAAGAAAAAGGAAGAAGAGGAAAAAGAGAAATTAACTGTCGCTTTGTGCTTAAATAGATCAAGGGAGCAATAGAAAATATAATTTATTGTTTCATACAGGAAAAGGTTTTTAAACATAGAAGAAAGAAAATATCTTATCTAGAAATTGAGAGCCTTTCTCATGTAGCCTTGTCTGAGTCCTCTAAACCTTGTAGTTGCTCACAGACCTTTTCCTGTCCTTTCACACTGCCAGGCCCTGGCACCTAATTGCTCTTTCTTCCTGCCTTGTGCACCGGTGCTTCCTTCTCTGAGACACCGGTACATGCTGGCACCATGGTAGCATTTGCCCCTCAAAAGCATGGTGGTTATTTGCACATCTATAGTCTCTTCAGACATCTAGAGTTCTGCCTCCTGGTCATCGTCGGACTTCCTGTCACTACTGTGCCTCGAAACACAAGGTTCTCAATAGGTGCTTGTGAAGCGAATGATTCACTTTCTGGGGAAAGACAGAGAAAGACATGAATACTATTGTTAAAGTGGATTGTTGCAAAACAGAGGTATACATGAAGACCAAAGGAGCACAGAAGCCTTTCTCCTACCTTGGTAGCATCTTTGCAATGTGAACTGTTCACATGCTGACATCTGCTTGCCAGTGGCTCAAGGCAGCCCTCTGCATATTCCCAAACTCCACAACTAGTCTCTTTGAACTTGTGGAACCCACTTTGACTTTAATAACTGAGAGAAGGCAAAACTAAAGAAGATACTTGCTCCAGTGCCTCAAAGAAAACAATGCAATAGCAACATTATTTAGGGCTTTTATTTTGTCCTATTACAATTCACATGCTATTTTCTACCTTACATTTTCTTTCCTAGGTGAATACATTTTGAATGCACTTCCTGGAGAGTGTGGGGCATTATTACTCTTGGCTCTCTTAACTTTTAGAGCACTCTGTTGGTGTCAGATACTCCGTATGGTATTTCTGGTGGAGCACGCAGCACATCACTTTTGTCTAGTTTCCCCTTGCAGTATGCTATACTTTTCTACTTTCTCTTCTTACAGGGATTGTTTCCATTAGCACCCTCACTGTGCTGGCCTATGAACGTTACATTCGTGTGGTCCATGCCAGAGTGATCAATTTTTCCTGGGCCTGGAGGGCCATTACCTACATCTGGCTGTACTCACTTGCATGGGCGGGAGCTCCTCTCCTGGGCTGGAACAGATACATCCTGGACGTCCATGGACTAGGCTGCACTGTGGACTGGAAATCCAAGGATGCCAACGATTCCTCCTTTGTGCTCTTCTTGTTTCTTGGCTGCCTGGTGGTGCCTGTGGGTGTCATAGCCCATTGCTATGGCCATATTCTGTACTCCATTCGAATGGTGAGTTGAAGGCTACAGATGCCCTTCCCCCCAAACATGTCCAAATGTAATGTGGAAAACATGAATGCTTCCTACATGATCAGTAGTTTCCCAGAAATGTAGCAACTCTAGGGGACTTTTCATACGGTAGCATTTTGCACTATGACTCACTCCCTGAAAGGATCAATGAGGAGTAACACTTTTTCTACATCGCTTTCTAAATCAAAAGAAGAAAAGAGAAGACTTTTGAATAAACAACGAAAGTGTCAAACTTCCCACATTATGCAGCACTCTCAGAATTTCAGAACTCTGAAAAAGGGAATTAGACACTTCCCATAATTTTATTCAGATCAGATCACATTAACTCATGCCAAGAAAATAGTACAGATGTTTTGTCTAGAAATCACATTTGAGTCATAAGGGACTAGAACTGACCACAAACAGACGTCACGCTGGAGCCAGCAAGAAGGATGCTTGACGTAACCAGCAGAGGGCAGGGCAGCTCCACGCTGCGCTCTAGAACTTCAGCTACGCATGGCGTCCTGACACTGCTTCTGCTCCCTCCCTCAGCCCACTGCTTTCGCTAGAGCAGTTCAGTCACTCTGAAATCCTCCGAGCGTTCACTTTTTATTTTAAGACAAACTTAGTCACATGCATCACTTTAAACCCCTTACCTTCAATTTCTATATTCATAATTTTTACTTACACCCATTTTGTTGAAGAAAAACATCTTTGGACCAACTCAACTCTGTTTTCTCTATGCCAGTAGTCGAAATGATGGGAAAAGAAAAGATGGGAGAAAAGTCACACGGGTCCAGACTCAGATATCCTCTCAGCTCTGTCTTTGTATTCTTTGTGTTCTCACAGGTTCCACTTCCTTACACAATGGTTATTAACATTCTCAGTATTCTTTTAATTTCTTGCTCTGTTCTCTTTTATTCTTATCAAATATATGTGCTTCTTTACTGGACAAAATAAAGCTATTATCAGGGACTTCCTCAACTCCTGGCTTCCCTTTATATAAGTCTCATTCCGCACTGTTTCTTAGATTTCTTTCTGCAGTTATGAGGGGTGACAGGGAAGTCTCCCAGGACCAAGTTATTTCTATATTCTTACTCCACTCCCACCCAGTATCTGCTCCAGGGATCCCTCTTTGCTGTAATTTTCTTTTTCACTTATATCTTCAATCTTTCCCTTCCCTTGCTACTCTCTTTTTCCCTTCAGCATATGACTATGCTAATTTAGAACAAAAGCAAAATATACTGTCAGCTCCCTGTAGCTATCCTTTCTCTCCTTGTTACTGCTAACTCAAGGAAACACTGGTGGCTTTTGGTACTGTATTGTCACTCAATAAGCATTCATTTAACCATTTATGAAGCATCTAAAATGTACCACTTGCTTCACGTTATGGGCAAAGTGTTTTATCTCTCCCAAATTCAGATACTGAAGCCTTAAACCGCAGTGAGATGCTCTTTGGAGATACATTCTTTAGGTAATAATTAGGGGTAGATGAGGTCATAAGAGACCTGATGGGATTAATGTCCTTATAAGAAGAGACCCTTAGCTAGCTGTGGTGACCCAGGCTTGTAATTCCAGCACTCAGGAGGCTGAGGCAGGGGGATGGCCATGAGTCCAAGGCTAGCCTAGGCTACATAGTGAGTTCAAGGCCAGTTTGTACTACATAGTGAGATTTTATCTCAAAAAGACCCTCCCAAAAAACAAAAACAAAATGCCAAACAAACAAAACCACCAGTCAGCCTGCACCCCCCCACCCGCACCCCAGTGTACTGCCTTCCCTGTGTACTTGAAGAAGAGGTCATGTGAGCATTTAATGAGAGGGACACCTACAAACCAAGAGAAGAGACTTCAGAATGAAGCCTATCTTACAAGAACCTTGATCCTGGACTCCCGGCTTCCAGAACTGCGAGGAATAAATTTCTGTTGTAGTTCAAGGAGTCAGTAGTTGAGTAAATTCATGTGGCATTTATACCTTAACTCATTGCAAATAGGCACCTCCGTCCCTGCCTTAACGCCACTGAAACATCCCTCATTTAAGCTCTGAATGATCTAAGTGTTAGACACAATAGACACAGCTCTATTTCCATTGTTTTCTGACATCTGTGGTATTTGGGGCTGACGACAACTTCCATTTTCTTACTAATCTCCCCCTCCCATTGATTCAGTGACCCTGTCTTTATTCTCTCTGGTCCTGTCTTCTTACGTCTCCTTCAAGGACTTCTTTTGCTTGGGCCTTCCCAGCATTTTTTGCTGAGTTCTTATTTCTTGCTACACCTTGGTCTAGGGTGATCTCATAGATAAGGTATGACTGAAGTATATCATTAATGCTTTAACAAAATAAGTGATTATAGTACAAGACATTGCCATGAATCCTCACAAAATCCTCTCACTTGCTTTGAGCACACTTATCCCATTGTTCTTGGCACTTTCTGAAGCAGTTCTTGAAGTATACTGAGGATATGTGATAAAAAATATGGTGAATGCTACTGCTGATGCCATCCAATGGAAAGGCAGGCTTGTGAAAATATTAAGGTGTGTCCTCATCTATCTTATTACCTGGATCTGGTACTGTATGATTTCTGCAATTCTCCAAAGTCAAAATGACTATGAAAGATAAAAGTTTTAAATTGATTCAGGGTACTGAAGCAGCCGTGAAAACCTAACTAAAGACAGGAAAGAGGACTTCCAGAACTGCTTCAGAAAGGGGCAGGAATGATGGGATAAGTGTGTTCAAAGCAAGGGGGAGGATCTTGAGAGGGATTCATGATAATGTGTCTTTTACTGTGATAAATTATTTTCATCTTAAACATTTACTGTGTGCTTCTATCATACCTCATACTGCCAGGAATTCTCCCTTCTAACTAGAATTTGAAGACTTTGAAATTTCTATTTCCAAACCAGACCTCAGATGCTCATAGTCAGTTGCCTATTGAATGCCTCCACCTAGAGGGTTCACAGACTCACTAAATTCAGCACATGGAAGGTTAATTTGTTATCTCTCTGCCCCCCAAATTCACCACTTCTCTACTCCTGTTTTCATGGAATGGCCGCATTCCTTGCTACCTAAGCCAGAATCTGGGAAGACATCTTGTACTATTCTTCATCCACATCTTCCCCATATGCAACTAATGACCAGTTCTTATTCTACTTAATGATCTGTCCGTTGTATCCATTTTCCCATTGCCTCCTGACACACACTCATTTCCAAGGGATCTCATTTCTCCTTTCCTCTACTTCTTACTTTCCTCTAATCCATTCCTTACCCACTGCCACTTGAGTGATTGTCCTCAAATACTCCCTGCATGATTGAAGTAGAGCTCCTGAGTGTGGCTAACAGATCCTGTGCGGCATCCCTGGTCTACCTGTCCTGCCTCGTTCCTTGGAATCTGTCTCCTTCTGTCACTTTCATTTCCAGCTAACTGCAGCATTTCTTGTTTCCAGAACGTGACGTGTGGTACTTTCACCCCTTTGCCTTAGCATGCTTCCCTCTTCGTCAGCACTGTCTCTTCTTGCTCCGCTAACTTCTCATCTCAGAAGGCTGAGATCAGGATTTTCTTGCTGTAACCCAGCCTTGGGAATGCTTCTCTAGCTGTGTGCTCCCATGTCTCCCTGCCCCTCACCTACGGAAGCAGTTGTGTGCTTCCCGTCATCAACAGAGTGAATTCCTCAAGAGCAGAGACTGTCTCACCTTTGTCCCTGCAGCTGGAATCGTCCCTGTGTATATCCTTTTTGGAATGAGTTACAAGCAGAAGATGTAGAAAAGGGAAGATAGGGTATTTGTTAAAAGTGTAAAGAAATTTGAGTTTAGACTGCTATTACCTCAACAGAAAACTTTGCGTGAGCACTTTGCCTCTATTTCTTTATTCAGAGAGAGGTGATTCAATACACCAGTGGAGACACAGCTACTCACTTGAGAATGAGAGCTCACATGAAAATCTGCATGTGTCTGGGTCAATAAGTACTAAGTATACCCATTAATGTAAGAAGATAGCACTTCTAGAGGTAATTCTGGAGAATTTGTCTTAAGTGGTTTCCTTTGGGGACAACTTTGACATGTTATTGAATGAAGAGAGTGAGAGATGAAGTAGACTCCTTTTTTGGGAGGAAAACTTTGAATGAGCAGAGTGAAAAAATAGTGATAGAACAAAAAGCTAAAGAGAGATAAAAGGGGCTGGGGATTTATCTCAGTGGCACAGAGCCTGCCTGGCAAGCACAAGGTAGTGAGTTTGATTTCTGGTACCGGAAAAAAAACCAAAACAACAACAACAAAAAGGAGAGATAAATAAAAAATAACCGTAGAAACTCCACTTATGCAAACCCAACTAACCTGAAACATCAGACAGGATCTTGTCCTTTTACCAAAGAGAAGCTGGAGAATAGACTGACATTTGCTTAAATTACTTTCACTAGCATACACATAATTCCAAGATGATAAATGAGCACTGTGCTCTGATGATGGAGAGGATGGAGAGCAGTTTGCCCAGAAAACAGTACAGAAAAAAACCATTGAGTTCTGGACAGTGGGGGCTGGAAGGGCAGGTCATGGAGATGTGGTTATGTACTAGTTAGCTGAAATTCTGAAGAGTCAAAAATGATGGTTCCAAATGTCCTACAGAGACATAAAAGTGCATATATGTATATGTTAGCTTCAAGTAGCATTCAAATATGAATATTTAATTTCAAAAATAACTGCCTGAAGGAACCTAGCTTCTGTTAAGTCTCATGGGACATTTGTTTTAACCTCTGTTCCATCTTTACTTCTAGAGTAGATAATTGCTGATTATCATGCTGGAACAAAGGCAGTAAGTCTAGAATATGAGTGCAAATCTTCTGCTTCCAAATTAGAGCTTTTACTACAATCTATACCTTTCTAAAAACTGAAGGGATGTGACTTGCCCCCAAAATGATGCCCTGCAAAGAGAGTAATATCCTATCACAATAAGTAAAATAGTTTCAAAAAATAGACTTGCACACATGGATAATAATAATAGGAGATTCAATACCTCTTCCCCTCATACACATTCTCTCTACTGTTTTGCTTTGTTTTGTTTTTTTGTACTAGAAATCAAACTCAGGACCTTGCGCTTACCAGGAAGGCTTTTGTGCCGCTGAGCTATATCCTTGGACTCTACTCTTAAAAAAAAGAAATCAAACATTTAAATCTTTCCTATCTCCCTCTATTCTTTTTCAATCTGAATATATAATTTTTAATAATATAGTTTCTTAAATATAACTTTAGATGATAACCAGTAATTTAGGAATGCCTATTCAAATATATTTTTAACTACTATAAGCATGTTCTAATTAATTCCTTTAGAAAAATCTCCTTTTCTATCATGCTGAAAGATGCACTCCTTAAACCTTATAAATGTATTGAAATACATTTCCCAGTCTGAAATTATTAAAACTAAGTATCGACAGTATACTAAATAACTGTTTTAAAAAATTAATATATGAAGCTTTTATTGTTTGATAGAATGAGTACAGCATCTTACAGTGCTCAGAATAGCCATTTAAATTTCAGAATGTATTTTTGTTGTGCAGAAATATTTTCTTCACCTTTAAAACATTTATGATAATAGTAAGAGAAATATATAAAGAACCTCTTAACACGAGAATTTTAAAGAACTTTTTGACTATATATCATTTTTTTCTCAGTACCTTTCATTAATACAAACTAGATGGGCTGATTTCAGACAAGTGGGGTTTTACCCAGTGCTGTCTTCTGTAAATGAGCCCGCAATGAAACCAACCACAAACAAATACCTCATCGATTCCACTGTGAGAGTCATTAGCAGGGAACTGAAAGATACAGTAGTTTCCAGCAAGAACTCATTTGGGGGTTAAGTTCTCATCAAGACAACTGGAGGCTTAGCTGTGCAGAACTCCTGACTTGACCTGAGTTTATAGTCTGGTTTGGGAATCTGCATATTAGTGCTCTGGGTAAAACAGTTTCCTGGATCATGGAGAAATTGTTACAATCTTATCATGACTCTTTCAGGCTGTCTTGTAGTGACTTGAAGAGCAAGGTAAAATAATTTAGTTCATCCTTGTTAAGTAAATTAGAAAACATTAAAAACCACTGAAAGATCCCAAAGGCTTTTCAGTTCAACCATAACATATTCCAGTTCAGGAGCCTGAGGCCCAAAGTGATGAGGGCTGGGACTAGCTATGTGTTTGAATCAGAAGCCAGCTTCCCAAGGTCCTTTGCTCTTCTTTCCCATTAGGGTAGGCCCTGGGTGGAAATGGAAAACACCAAAAGAAAACAGTTCTTTCACTTTTCAACTCCCGCTTTTCTCTGTGCTGCAGCTTCGTTGTGTTGAAGACCTTCAGACAATTCAAGTGATGAAGATTTTAAGAGATGAGAAGAAAGTGGCCAAAATGTGCTTCTTGATGGTCTTCATCTTCCTAGTCTGCTGGATGCCTTATATTGTGGTCTGTTTCTTGGTGGTTAACGGTTACAGACACCGGGTCACTCCAACAGTATCAGTTGTTTCTTATCTGTTTGCTAAATCCAGCACTGTATACAATCCTGTTATTTATATCTTCATGAGCAGAAAGGTAAGCTTTACAATTAACTGGTCGTTTTCACCTTGGGGAAAATAATTTTGTAGAGGTAATTCAGAACAGCTTCAGTGATGAAAACCCAAGTGAAGAACTTGATAGGAAAGTAAAGCTATTCTAAGATCTGCCAAGAGAGATGTGTACTTATTAGATGAAATTCTATTAAAATTACTATTTAATGCATCAGAAAATATTTATCTACTACTAATAATGAGTTATCTCCTTAATAATCACAGAGTTACTATGTTTGAAATTCTTACTATACTGTGCAGATTACACCTAGTATCTTTATAGGACTGTACCATGAAATAGGACTAATATTATTCCTGTATTTATAGGTTTTGAAGTAGATTCAAGGAAGATAACTTGCCTGACCCAGAAAGCATTTGTGCTGGGACTTCAAGCTAATTCACTTGAGACCTCAAAGCCAGAGCTCATAACTTCTCATTTGTGTTTAGAAATATTGCTAGTAGCTGTTCTGGGTTATTCTCATGACATAGCCGATATCTAACCAAATTTAACTTTGCTTAATGTTGAGGACCACTCTCCAACAGGCAAAATTTAAATATGTTCTCTAACAATTTGTTTTGCTCTTTCTTTCAGCCAGTGGCTGTAAGTCCTTACTTCTAAACTATTGTGCATATGTCACACTTGAAAATATTGTAAAAATATGCAGATTTTGATTCAGTATGTCGGGTACCCAATATTCTGCAGTTGTAACAAGCTCTGACATGGGCCTGCTACTTCATGAGAAACTGAAATACAATACTTTTACATGAAGAGACTAAAGGACCAGTGATATAGCTCAGCGGCATAAGTGCTTGCCTGGCAAGCCTGAGGTCATGAGTTCAATTCCCAGTTCCCAAAAAATAAATAAGTAAATAAATAAATAAAATAAAAAGACTGAAAAATATAACAAACACACAAAAACAAATAAGACAATGGTTCTTACCCAAAGAAGCTTACCATTTGTATACAAAAGCATTAAATGTGATATATATATGCTAACCCTTTTAATGACATGTATATCTTTAGCACTTAACTTGATACACCAAACAATGGTGTGGTCATAAATATTCAAATACATCTTCAAGCAGGGCATGGTGGCGCATGCCTGGAATCCCAGCACCTGGGAGGCTGAAACAGGAGGATTGTTGCGAGTTCATGACCAGCCTGGGCTACAAAGTGAGCTCAAGGCCAGCCTGAACTGCCTGGTGCCACCCTGTCTCAAAAAGACAAAAAAACAAAGAAATATTCAAATAAACAGTTTAAAATACGACTATAAGGGCTGAGGACATAGATGGCTTACTTGGCATGCATAAAACCCTGGGTTCAATCCCCAGCACTAAAAAAAAGTTAATATATACTAAATGCCAACTTACATATAATTGGAGAGAGTGTAAAAAAAAAAAACCAATGTAACTATTTATTATTTTTGATTGATTTTTTTTTTTAATTTGGAAAAGCCCACATATTCAACTTTTATTTGCTCTAAACAAAAGGGATAACAAGTTAACTTTTTATTTATATCTTGCGTTAGCCATAGTAGACACACTACTGTCACAACCCCAGTGTCAGTGGACTAACACTGAAAGAGTTTATTGCTCTTGGAATTTACAGCCTAATGTGTGTGATGGTGAAGACAGTGTCTGTTTCACACAGTCTCTAAGGAATCTACATCCCTTCCATTTCATGATATTCTCATCTTCAGACCTTGGCCATCAGGTTTCTTGGAGAAGGGAAAGAGCAGAGGGGAGACCTTGAAAAGGGCTGAAAAATATGGTTGGTGTAGTAGTGCCCAGGATACAGAGAGTTACATATATTGTTGAAAACTAGAGTTACCCACTGTAGCAGTTTTCCCCAAGTTATAATGTTAATAGAAAAAAATTCTTCTCCTACTTAAAAGAATATCCATGAGCACACAGTCTGTCAATTCTGCCGGAACAGACTTGTCTTTGTCTGTCTCTAGAGTATAGCTCAGTGGCCGTCACCTTGTAGGTACTCACTGGGTATTTCCGCACTGAATACGTGTTGATAATCCTTTAACAGACAAAGCTATTCTCATAGAAGGTACACACGAACTGAAAGTAGGGAGGGTTAAGGTATGAAAACAGTCCTATGTGGTCTGGTTTGTAAGAACTAAAATAAATCAGATGTAAAACTCCGGAGGGATTTTGTTGTGGGAAAAATTCAATCAACAGTAGCCAGGAGCTCAGAAGAAGCAAGGAAATTTTATTGGTGCTAGCGGACCCCAGAGGAGTAATCTCCAAAGTCTGAGATCCTGAGTACAGAGTTTGTCTTTTTTATAGGGTGGCACACTGAAGTTACAAGAATGAGATAAGCTTTTACTGAAGGTTATGGTACAACGGCTATCTTATGGTGAGCATAGTTGTAAGCAGCAAAGTTGTTTTAGCACATTTACAGAAGTTTCAAGTTGATGACAAATCATGTGATTTATCTGGATTCAGTGGCAGAGAACAGAATGACTGGAACTTTATTGAACAAAATGGCTGCAGTTAGGTGAGGATTTCTACTTCAATTTAGATCAATCTAAGCATTAGTATAAATTCTGCCTTGGATCAGCTAACAAACAAAAAAATCCAAATTACACTCAACTCATTTTCTTGAATGTTAATCCAGATTAAGGGCCTAATTTTTAACTAATAATCAACTTCATCTTTTCTTCTCTGCCCAGTTTCGAAGATCCCTCTTGCAGCTCCTCTGTTTCCGACTGCTGAGATGCCAGCAGCCTGCTAAAGACCTACCAGCAGTTGAGAGTGAAATGCAGATCAGACCCATTGTGATGTCACAAAAAGACGGGGACAGGCCAAAGAAGAAAGTGACTTTTAATTCTTCTTCCATTATTTTTATCATCACCAGTGATGAATCACTATCAGTTGATGATAGTGACAGAACCAGTGGGTCCAAGGTGGATACAATCCAAGTTCGTCCATTGTAGGAATGAAAGACTGAGCCTTAGATTGGATGTCACATTCGGACTTTGATTATAAGGACTGTTCTGGAATCTGCATTCTGTGTAATAGCACAATTTTTACGGTCCAGCAAGAAATCTGAATTGCCTGCATGCTCTCTGGCCTCAAGAAGAAACTGGACAAGACAATTTTTTTTAATTCAATGGGTGCTTTATGTAACAAAAACCCACTAATGGCACAAGACAGGCATCTGGCACCATCATCTTCTTTTTTTTTTTTTTTCCATCATCTTCTAACGTGTTAGAATTTTCATTTCAGATATATTTTTGAATGATTATATTTGCCAAAGCTCATAACACATTTTTCTTGAAAATATTTCATTGTAAAAATAACTTTGTCTCAAACACATGTGTGAAATAGCTAGTCCATCTTTAATTCTCTGAAGTGTTGGGTCCTATTTAGAGTCATGTCATATGTTTGATACAAATTGAATTTATTAAGGAGATAAAGTCTAGGATAAAAATAAATTCCCTACCTTTACCTGTAACTA